TTTCTAATATGGAGGGTTATTCCCAAATTCTGAGAAACAGTTGTGTCTTTTCATCATGCTTCTAGGGCCAAGCATGTACACTCCAAAGGGTTATTTTAAAGTGTCTGTACAGTGGCTTCTCCAGTCAGTTTGTATCAGGTATTATCCCAGTGATTTTATTTTATTTTTGTAACCTGAGCTAGATTTCAGTGCCAATTTATTACTTTCATGAGAATTTTCTTGCCAGGAGTTGTATAATGAAAAAGACAAACCATTTGCACATTTAGGAATAATGGAGCAGTGTTGTCTTGTAACTGAGATCTTCAGAGTTGCCCCTGCCTAGAGCCTGAGCTTACCTCTTTTTGGTACAATTTATTACAAACCTTTCTCAGGTGCAGTTTTTAAAAAACACATTTTAATTTTCTTACTTATTTTTATTTAATTTGGTCCCAAGATTATAAAGTAATGCTGCTTAGAGTCAGAAAATTTTAAGTAAGTAAATGAAAGCTTTGAGTATAAATTTGAGTCATCTGAGTTGCTTTACTTCTGTGTATATATTTGTGCTGGTAATTTGATAACAGCACTGAATGAAGCAAGTGAACAATGATCAAAATATGAGGAGTGTGCATGGCACATTCAGACCTTATCAGCTCCAGAATCAGTTATCTGTTTGAAGAAAATTACATTGCATCTGTCAATAGACTTAATAACTCAGGGCCTGCGATTTGATAATGGATAATCACAGAAATTCAGGAAGCTAGACCATATGCCATTCCAGTTTTCTATTCTCTTATTCACCTTAATTTTCTAGATGAGTGAAATTATCTAGTCCTGGACTCAAAACGGCACACATGGAAATAGGGCCTGCAGGAATCTAGCCGCTCCCCACATCAGTCCTGCACAGGTTGTAGCTGCCGGGTTATGTCTGCAACTCTGGCATCTAATTGAAACAGGCAGAGTTTGGAAAATTGTAAACCTAGACAATGCATGTGAATAATGGTTGGAAAATTATTTTTTAAAAAAGGTGGATGTGGAACAGCTGAAGGAATTAGCTATCAGGAAACAGTGAGACTGGGGAGGGCAAGGATTCAGGGTTAGAGGAACAAATGTGCACCTCCATATATAAACCATGAGGGACAGGAACTAAATGGTAGACATTACTTAGGGAAATATTTTCCTGGAAGCAGAGACTCTCTCACGGCCCCTCATTCCTATTGATCTGGGAAGCAGTTTCTGCTTACAGAACCATTTCTCTCTTCTCACCTAATATGGTTACTGTATCGGTGATAATTTTGGCTATAAGCATTAGATGACTTAATGTCAGTGATTTAAACAAATAGGTGGGTCTTGATCTCACATATCAAGAAGAACATTGCAGGCAGTTTGTGGGATGGATATGGCTGCTCAGTGAGGTCAGTGGGGTTCAAGCTCTTTTCACCTTTCTACAGAGCCCTCTGTACCATGGCCCTTGTTCTCATGCTTATTAGTTGGAGTGGGCACTGCATCTGTACGTCATCATCTCCCTGCACACAAGGATTAGCACCTGCTCCTTCACATCAGGAGCAAACCTGCCCCCGACATTCCCAGGAGATATTTATTCTCATCTCATTACCCCCAGTGGTATCACACAGACATGTGGACTTCTACGGAAGCTAGATAAGTGAGCATCTCACTTGGAGCTGGCATTTTGCTACCTGAAAACAATTCAGTCATGAAGAAGGAAGGAGGAAACAATGTATGTCATTTGGGCAATGAGCAGGGAGTGCCCCAACCATTCACCTAAGATTTATAGAGGAGGAAAAATGTTAGGCAACTGCACCATTACCATGGGGAGGTGTGGTCCAAGTAATACTGATAGTGAGGGTCACTTGCTCACTGTTCATCTATCTTTATGTGCTCTCTTAATATGAATGGGTTGGAAGTTTTTAAAATTTGTATCAAGTCAAGCAAGACCATAGTGAGATACCATGGAGAGCTGATTCAGCTGGAACGGGAAACCAAATCAAATCTGACTCTTGGCTGAGAATTACCCCCTAGATTTATAAGGTTCTATATAAACTGAGCTTCTCTCTCCGTGTGTGTCTTTCTGTGTCTCTGTCTTGTCTCTGTCTCTGTCTCTGTCTCTTTCTCTCTCTCTCTTCTCTGTTGTACTGATTTTTTTGCAGCTCTTGTTTCTGTGGCTGAAAGTAAGAATGTTCTTGGAGGAAGAGGACACCTTGCTGAAATAAGAACACATTACCTTTTAATTTAGATAAGAACATAAAAACAAGACAGCTCACAAGGTGTACTTTTTATCTATACTACATTTTATTTTCCTCCCAGACAAGTCCATTGGACTCACATCAAACAAATCCCCAGGAAGCTAGAAAGGGAAGTTGGCAGCAGATCTCTTCATGCTATTTTGATGATACGAACCCTGAGATTCAAAGGCTTTGTCCTGAGTCACACAGCAGTAATCACCACTGAAAATAATCCTGCAACACTCTCCACCTGGCCAAATTGCCTTGCTGTGAATGGATATCTCTTGGAATGCTGAATCAGGACATCAAATGCAAATGCGATGATTTTTCAAGTGGAGAATTTTTGGAGAACTGGATTCCTTAAGTGGAGAATTAGACTGTGTAAATGGAAAGTCAGAAGATCTGCAGGAAGCTTGGCTTTTATTGGTAGATTCATGATTGTCTCATGATGCCACCATTTTTGATACTACATCTTTTACCCACGAAGGAACTTGCTTCCATATTTGGAATTTGGATGCCGCATAATTGCACTTAATCATTAAATTGCTGTGCAATGGCATTCAAAGCTATGTGTGAATACCCTGCTATCTTACTTTCATTTATTCATTCTTTAAACATCTATTTATGGCAGCATCTATGAAGCTGTTGACATAGTTTTACCTGATAAGAATGTGAGACACATGAGGTTGTAGTCTAAAGGGCATCTATTCTACGAAAGAGGAGATACAAATAGCAAACTAAATCATTAGTCCTTTAAATGAGCCGAACTTGAGAGTCAAGAAGCAGAAGATGAAACTTCATAATTTTTTCCTTCATAGTTCCGTTGAACCCAATTCTTAGACTATTTCATTCTTGTCCTATGAATGAAACCTTGAGCTAGTACATAATTTTATTAGTCAGTTGGTCACAAAGTCTCCAAAATATTTGAAGGAAATTGCTCTCAGTTGAGAATAAGGCAGACAGACATCAGAGGAGAAACAGATCATGGTGTCTCTTTCTAACAATCACAGCTCTCTCTAACTTTTATGTCTTATCCTGGCTACTTAGTACAGGTAGCACTCACACCCTCAATCCTAGTGCTCTTTCTCCTAGCATTGCACCCTATTAATTCCAGCATTACACACTCTAAAGTCAGCCACCAAAAAGGTTTGAAGTCCTTAAACTTCTTTTACACATCCTAATTCTAAGCAAGACTCCTTATAGAGTCTGCCTGTGAACAATCACTGGACTGAGAAGTGTGCTGATGAAACAGGAAAGACCACGAAGAACAGGAATGTAAGTGCTTTGTGTCTCTCGGGGAGGGACATGTCAGGTCTTGCGTACAGCCTGGAAGAAGTGATAGGGGTGGATGGTTCTCTGTTGGTCAGGAAAATGCACCACCCTTTGACAGCCTCGAGCTCCTGGGCCACCCTGACATTTGTCTCTAGTTTCACCACAGCAGGCTTTGTTCCCTTCATGACAACAGATGCCTGTCTTGACACCCTATTCATGGTACTGTCACCTGCCTAGAGAGGTGATGAGTTGGGCAACTTTTCTTCCACTTGCACGCTTGAGTTCTTTCAGACTAGATTCAAAACAACTTCAGGGGATTCATTCAATAGCAAGGATCCTATTTGACTTAGATTTGTTTCTTTTCCTTCCTTTCTCAGCAAACGGTAAATTACTCCCTTGTCCTTTAAGGCACCAGGACTTTCTTCCCCAGGCATTCCCTGCTTTCCACAGGCAGCAGACTGGGTTGGCCACAGGCCTCCTTCTTGGCTCTGCTTTGCCAGCATGCTACTTGCAATTTCTCTAAAGACAGCGCTGGTTTTTTCAAGGCAAATGAAACTTCATGGACCATTTCTTCCCACTTTCCTAGAAGCGAAGGCCGGCACAGGGGAGGGAGTGGGAAATATACAGAGGCAGAAAGTCACTTCTCAGCACTGGAGGAAGAAAGTGCTGACCCAGCTCAGGGGCACTGGGACTCTGAGCCCTATTCTAAGCAGATGCAAAGCTGCACGTGTGTGCACATTCATCACACAGCTCCTGAGTGCAGGTAGGAGAGGATTTTCTGTGATGAAATCTCAGTGTGAGAAATGTAGCAATCCACCAGTCTCTCTCTCCCTCTCTTTCCCTCTGTCTCTCCCTCTGTCCCTCTCACTCTTTCCCCAGCTCTTGATCTCTTTTTAAAAACATGAGCAGATATTTTTCATTTGTAGCCCAGATGCTACTATTTTTCTGTTATTTGCACTTAGTGAGTTGAAATGCAACAGATGTTTGAAAAAGGTTTAGAACAAAATTCCTCATTAGGGACCATGACAAATAAATTACACACCTAACTTTCGAGCCTTTGTTTGCTCAGACTTTTGGCTGATTTTTTCAGGGTGAAGAGGAGAAAGAAGAATAATAAAATGACAATGAGAAGAATATTATAGTAATCATGATTATTGACTGAGCTAGGACTTTTAGCTGCTTTATAAATTTCCCACCTGTTATTGTATTCGATACTCAGAGTTACCCCAGGGGGCAAGAGTATTGCATTTATTTAACATATGAAGTAATTGAAGCACAAACAGGATGAAAGGCTTGATTAAAAGTTAGGCAAATCTACCTCTGAAGATGAGAGTGTGAACATTTCATGGAGCCTTATAGCTTTTGTAGAGAGAGGGAGGGAGGGAGACAGAGAGAGAGAGATTTGAAATGAATTCTTTCAATACCAAATGTCCTAGACTTTACCAATAAGAGGTCCCTATAATGTAGCATTCCCACTTGGCTGGACTTTAATTTTCCCCTTGTTATTTCTGTACATTTCCGGGCATGTCTCACAGATAAATGCCAATAGTTTTTGTTCCTTCTTCCTTCTTTTTTCTTTTTTTTTTTTTTTACTACCCTAAATTGTTTATTAGGTGTGAATTTTACAGACATTACTTAAATTCCTGGTAACAATAGAACTGGAGAGCGTAGCTCCTCCTCCAAGCTCAGGGGAGAATCACCAATAGTGCAGTGGAACATCCCCTTCAAGGCCCCGACCCTTGTGGCCTGCAGATGTCAGCCCGTGCATATTTCTGGGTGTGCCAGCTGGTTTGGTGTCAGGATTTCTCCTGATAGCTCTGTGAACTGGAGGATGACCTCAAAGAGCACCCATAACTCTACATTGATGCAGAATTCAAGATTCTCAGAGTTCCACATTCAGGCTCAATCTTCAGCCACAGACTTCAGGCTCTGAGTGAAGCTGAGCTGCTTAACAGCATCGTGGACAGACTGGCCATAGTTTGTACCCTTAGGAGTGGGCATTTGAAGGCGCTATGGTGCACATGAACTGCTGGGCCTTGTATCCCAGTCAGCAAGCTTTCCTGAGCGGGATGTGGGGCAGGGTGCCCGGTAGAGAGCAGAGAGCTGGTCATACTGACAGAAGCATATTACATAAGATGGCTTTTCCCTCCATAGATCCTGGATATACTTGCATACACTTATCTTGACTTTTCTCCCTAACATTTTAAAAAATTATAGTACAACTGATAAAATTCGCCTTAACCATTTCTAAGGGCCCAGTTTTATACTGTTAAGTATATTCACTTTATTGTGCAGCAGATTTCTAGAACTCTTCATCTTGCAAAACTGAACTGCTATATCCATTAAAATTTATATTTTATTTTTGTCCCTCCCTTTGCCCCTGGTAACTACTATTCTACCTTCTGTCCCTATGAGTTTATCTACTCTAAGTAGAATTACACAATGCTTGTGTGATTGTGTTGGTGTGACTTTATTTCATTTAGCATAATATCCTCTAGTTTCATCCTTGTTGTAGCATATGTTAGAAGTTCTTTCCTTTTTTAAGGCTGAGTAATATTTCACTGAATGTATAAATCACATTTTATGTTTAGTTTCTAAGAAGAAACTTAGATTTCTTCTTCCTTTGGCCTATTATGAGTAATGTTACTTTGAACACATATTCTTGGCATTTTTTAAAAAACTTAATCATATTCTCAATTAAGAACTTATTTGTAGTTTTTTTAAGAAAGGGGGTTCTTGCACCTTCCGTTAGAAGGTAAGACCATAGATTTCCATATGTTTCGAATCCTGCTACGCTCCCAGACTCTAGAATAGTATTTAGAATGAAATAGGTTCTCAACAATATTTATGAAGCAGATCTGAAAGTAGGAGAAGACCACAAGGTTTAAAAAAATGCTTTTGGAGAAAGTAGAATAACCAACATGGTACTGAAATGTCTCTCAATATGAGAATTTACAGACTCCAATCTTCTCGTCACCCAAAGACCAAGTGCCTATCTTCCTTCAAAAGTCAGCTTCTATTCATGGTGCTAAAAGTTGTGCATGTAAGGTGAGCTTTTCCCAAGGTTGCTTATGAGGTTTGTAAGCTGAATTTCTCCAGCAGCAGAACCGTTTTTCATTGCCGCACTGCGTTGGACACCTTCCACAATCCTCACGTCAAAATTCATGTGTGAAGCGGAGTTAATCTTGAAGGAAAGAGGAAGAGTACAAAGCAAATAAAAATTCTTGCCTGGATTCATGCCCTGATTTTTTCTTATACTCCATAGGGTATAGCCCCTTAATGATCTACAACCTAAACAATGAGAAGGCATAAATTATGAGCCTGTTTTCCTCTAATAATTATTACCGAAACTGAACCCTGGTGGGAACTAGAATCACTTTCCATATCATCAAAGATATAATCAAAGCATAGATAGCTGTGGTCAAATTCTTTGAAAATTGGTCACTGAGAGGTCTTTTTACTCAAACTGTGGTATGGGTAGAGGCAACAGGTGCAGCAACACCTAGGAATTTCTTAGATTGCAAAATGCTCTGGCCTGTCCCCACCTGGTCAGTCAGAATCTGCCTTTAAAAAGATCCCCAAGGGACTCAACTGCATCTGAAAGTGTGAAAAGCATTGGCTTCTTCATTCATCTAGACAACAGCATTCCTCTCCAAATTTTAGGAAGGTTTACTCTTGTTGCAATTTTAGAGACTAAACATTATCCTAGTCCATGAAAGTAATTTCTGAACCATGATGCTTTAATATGACTGCTAGCTGAGTGTAGTGGTGCCCACTTATAATCCCAGCAGGTTGGGGTTGAGGTAAGAGGATTGTAAGCTTCAGGACAGCCTGGGCTACGTCACAAGTTCAAGGCTATCCTGAATTCCACAGTAAGGTCCTGTTTCAAACTAACAATATTGATTGTATATATATATATATATATATATATACACACACACACACACACACACTTGATCTTAGCCAAAAGGCCAAGAAGCGATTCATGACACTATATACATATATGAACATGAATACAATAGTTATTTCACATTTTCTCAGAAAATCCAGTGCATTTTTAAAAGGTCTACAATTTTCAGAGTACAGAAGTTTTTGAAATCATATTAGAATTCAAGAGTCCTTGCTAGTTAAGATTCAGTAGTAAATCTCAGAAAAGAACTTAAAATGCAGCAAAAGCAAAAATAGTGCTTCAGATTTTAAGTATCTGCTCTTTTTTTCTCAGAATACTTAAGTCTCTGTTGGATATTTTCAACTTACAGAAAGGCAAGAGGTTCAAGTGGATTCATGCCATCCAAGTGCCTGTTTCCCTTCCCCTTAGTCTAAATCCCAACAGAATGTATCTCTAAATGCTTTCATTTGTGTTACATCCCTCCTATTACCACTTCTCTGTTTCTTTTGTTTGTCTGGTTGGTTTTTGGTACCAGAAATTGAACACATAACCTTACACGTGCCAGGCACTGTGCCGCTAAGCTACATACTCCGCCCTCTGAGTCTTATATTTAGAGCCCAATTTCAAGTTCAACTGTCTCTTAATTTTATTCATTTCAGATTATTCCCACTCCTTCTCCATCTGAATTATAGGTGAACTTGGGAGAACCATGCACACACTCACATGAACATACACAATTAACAAAAAATTTCTCTCTACGGAGCTCAGCAACCAAATCAAATCAGTTATCAGACTAGCCATCTTTAGCTTGCTGATTTCATTCTTCATTACTGAAATAATTTCTGTGGGATATATTGTTCATAAGACCTAACTGAGATAGAAATAGCTTGAGGCTAATAGTTTAAAAAATAGTTTACATTAGACAACTCACGCTGATGAACTTGTTTTTGTTTTTAATTTGTCCTAACGCATTATTCCTTGATCTTTCTGCATTTTTGTGGAAACAAGAGACCCAATGCATCAGAATATGAAGTTTAAAAATCATAACAGGTTAGCTTCATAAGATAGATGGGGAAATGAAGGGTTAGAAAATTTAAATGATGCACCAAAGTTGCACAGCTTGTTGGTGTCAAACTGAGAGAGAATCTCACTGTGTTAACAGACAGGTGTACTGCCTGCCAACCCGGAAACTGGATGCATTTTATTTACACATATGAGCAAGAATGCACCAAGAGCCTCCCACTTCGCTTGCTGGTTGTTACCTCTAGCTGTTGGAATCATCCAATACCTTCAACATGAAGCTATTTCAAAATAAGCAAATAGTATTGGAGACCTCTATAGCTAGTCATGTTAATAGTAGGCTGAAATTGATCCTGAAATATCCTACGATGTATCGGTGTCCTCTCCCAGGAAGCGCCTCTGTGGCACTGTGATTTTTTGTAAACCACTCTTTCCTTTCTCTGTTGCCTTGAAGTCAAGGCACAGAAAAACCAGGCAGGCTGCCTCAATTTGGACCAAATGACCTGTGTAATAGCAGTAGTTACAATTGATTCCAGAGGACACACACTCTTTGCTTCTTCCATTTCTACGTTATGAGGCAAATAGAAAAAAGAATGAATATTTGGGGCAGGGAGTGAAAAAAAATCGCCAATTGTTTCCCTGGATGGGCACCAGAATAGATGTATGAGCCCTTAACCCGGGCAGATTACAGCGCTTTTGACAGTAATAGAGCCAGGATCAGACATCCCAATTCTAAGAGTATCATTAAAGACTGCACCATCGGGGGTTCTTAGCATTAATCACAAGTGATTATGAGGGCCTTGCTGTGTTGTATCTTTCATGCATACAGACTTGAAAACTTCCCATGAAAAATGATGGAAAGGGCTGAATCATAAAATAATGAAAGTTAACTGCTGCTTCAGGACAGCTGTTCAGTGTTGGAGAAACACAGTTTAAGGGGGATAGGGAGGGGGCGAGAAAGACAGAGAGATCAAGGGAGAATGAGAGAGCTTAGCTCTGTTTAGATTAAAGTGATGTGTTTCACGTTCTAGAATTGATTTTTTAAAATTTGGGTTCTATTTGAAAAAGGAAATATCTTGATGTCAAATATGGCCAAGTAAAAGGCCAATCAAATTCCAAGTTTAGAATTTCAGATTACAAAGAAGTCAGAGATGCGGTTTCCAATTTACACAGGCGAGCGAGGAGCACGTCTCCACACTCACGTGCTTCACGTTTGCCGCCACGGCAGGCACCCTGCCCAGGTGGTGACTGGATTGAAGATTCTAGCAGCATATGTCTAGTGTGAGGGTGGCATCAGAGCTCCTCCACACTGGAGGAGGCTAAGACTACCCGGGAAAGATGTGAGTGTGCAGGGAAGACACTGAACACTTTTCAAATCATTTTTTTCAAAATAAATAAACCATGGATCCCATATTTGGTACTGTAGAATTGGCTCAAGAATCCTGCTGTAGATATTTGCAGAAAATTTAATTACAAATAAAATGAATTTTTTTTGTCATTTATGATTGACCCAATATCCTGTATTCCTTTCCAAATTGTAGACTCTTCACCTTCCAGGCTTGTGAGTGCCCCATGGAGTTTAAGATTTAGGCTCATACCATTTTCTTCTTGGCAGTACCGGGGATGGAACCCAGGACCATGGTCCTGCCTGTCAAATGCTGAGCTACATCCCCAGCCCTTTAAAAAATGTTTTTGCAACAGTCTTGCTCAGTTGTTCAAGTTGGCCTTGAACTTCAGACCCTTCTGCTTCAGTATTCTGAGTAACGGGGAGTATAGGCACAAGAGACCATGCCCGTGTCTCATCTGATTCATAATCAGTTATACTAAAACATTCAAAAATGTGGTTTAAGTCTTCTTAAATTTATGAAAAAGTAAAATTTTGTAATCAAATAGTAAGGGAATAATAATTGTTATTAGATTGTGTATCATTATTTTCAATGTAGTTACTCAGAGTAGAAGACATAATACAAAGATTCTTACAAAAAAGAAATAAACATAATAATGAAACTTTCTTTTCAATGAACTAAGATAAATGAAAACAATTTATGTTCATAAGTATAACTGTTCAACTGAATAATTTACAGGCTGTAACAAATGTATTTCCCCTTTAAAATGACGGCCTTTACTAAATATTTATGAGAATAAACTTCAAAAGATTATTGTTTACCTTAAGACTTTATAACCCAGAATTTTAAAAGGATCCCACTGATTTCTACCATCATTCTATGCCACTGAATCTTCCACATACAAGTGGACATAGGGAACTTCCCTGAAACTTGCTATTTACCATATACTATATTAAATCTCCCATCCAAGTGGTTTCTTTACTCATATATATCTTCTTGCTTACGCAAGAGCCAAAACATCTAACAACTTTTCTTTTTTTTTCTTCTTAACCCTAACCTTAATCCTAACCCTAATCGTAACCCTAACCACTTTTATTTCTTGATGAATTATTTTTCCTATCTCTTCTGACCAGCCCTGGAAGGTTCCAGTGATCATTGGCCGCAAATCAGAAAATTGCTTCAGTCGTAGCTCATGTAGAGATCATACTTTTTCTCTTACACAAAATCTTGAGATTCAGACCAGCCAGTTTTTGTGGAAATTCTTTGTGTGAAAAGTAGAATAGGAATTTCCCAATTGACATCAATGATCTTGTGTCTAAAAAATCTCCATATTTGTTGAACAACCTCTTTTTAATAGCTATCTCTAATTTCAAGTAAATCTGTGGTCACCTGTATGTACCACAGTGTATTTTAGATGATGCTAGACTAGAGGAAAATAGCTTTCTGGAGGAAGTCCAAGTGCCTTTAATATAAGGTAGGCTGACCAAGTTTAACTTTAGTAAATAAAAATACAGGGAACCAAATTAACTTTGAATTTAGGATAAACAATAATTATAATACCACTTAGTATAAGTATAGCCCATGGAATATTTGGGGGGCATTCTTATTCCATATTATTATTTAGACTCAGATGTAACTAGGCATGCTGTACTTATTCAGCAACCCTGTGTTGGGACAAAGGAGTGAGGTCATGTTACGTGGCCACTTGAGTTAGATTAGGATCTAGAACTAAAACCCTAAGCCAGGAAGTCACATCAAGAGAAGAATCAGGCTACTTGACCTTACCGTGATTGAGAACACAGAAAAAAATTAAATCCATTACACTATATCAGGATCTAAGAAATCAGCCTTTGAAACAAATAGAAAGTGAGGTTAGTAAACCAGATCTAAGTCAGCTGACCAAACTTGACAGTTTTCTGCGTGAGGATGTTCTCCATTACCCACGAGTGTCTTTCATCCTTTTTTCTTTCCAAGCTACCCATAAAGATGGATGTGGTTTGCTTATCTAGTGATGCTATAGGAAGTTGAGCAGTAATGAAGAAAAGATGGCCATCTGTCGCGGCTCATGACCCTTGAGGCACTTAATGCTAACCAGCTTCTCTGCTGCTTAGTATTAAGACACTGCCACAGATTCTCTTATGCAGTCAGTACTTAGTCCACATAACAGGCTTGTTAAACCATAGAGGAAATAGGCATGAGCCCACAAACCTGGCATCATGAAGTCCTGGCTCCTTGCGATTAGGGGAGGATGACCATTCCTGCAGATGGGGTGCAAATCAGGAGCCCGGAGGCGCATGAGCCCGGGAATTCCCTTTCTATCTCTCAGTTTGTTTGCTGTCTCCAATTTGAGATAAAAATCTTTGTCCTTCCCACATAAGCGAATGGATATAATAACCAGATAGGCTAAAGAATGTGCTAGCCTCCTAGAATGAGAAAAAAGAAACAACTAACTATACCAGATAAATGCAGGAGGAGGCTGTTTTGTTTTGCTATCTTCTTCCTGGTGGATAACCACACCTTCCAATTTGTCTAGGAAGGTCTAGATTTATTCCTGTTGTCTCATCAAAATTATCAATAACACCCCTTTCATTCTCAAATATAAGAGATACACTGTGATGTCACTTGAATGAGGGTAAACATGTTGTGAATACCAATCTATGGTGTATTTGACAACAGAATAGTTGACATTGGACTTTGTCAATCAAAGGTCACAAAATTGCCTAGTGACCAGAATGCGCACTTCATCTTTTCACTCTAGGCCAATATTCTGCTGCTACTTCCAGTCTAACGTTAGCCTTGCAGCTGATGATGAGGACTCAGTGGAGAATAAGGGATTTTGACTCAGCCTTTATGAATTCAAGCACAGACGAGTTTATGGGTAATGATTGAGTATTCATATCTTTTAATGAGAATGAATGCTAAGCAGTTTTCACTCATTTTTATACAAAGATAAGAAACTAGTGATGGTCCTTCATGAATTATATTATTATCCAGAAACTTCTCTGTGCCCTATGCCTGAGCAAGAATGTTTACTGCTGGATCCCAGGAAATACTAACATTACTTACAGAAAGTACAGTCTGTCCGGAATCTCCGTGAATGGATACCTCGCATGCTTTGTAAGTCCTGTCATATCCAGAGCTAACTATGCTGCAAACCCACTCTCCTCACTCTCCTCTTGGAATGCCATCTGATTGCCCATGTGAGAGAATCATGGATGTCACAGCCATCTGTGTGACATAGCGAAAGTGCCCTGGAGACTTGGGTGCAGGGTGATGGATGCTACTGTTTCTCTCTTTATACCTAATATGGAGCAGGATGAATACTGAACTTCAGGATAGGCCTGCTGTCCCTACTGGCCTCCTTCAACTCTAGACTAAGATGGACTAATAGAAGCAGGGACAAGCATGCACTGTGGGAGGCAGTGCTATGGATAGGAAATTATGAATAATTAACATGAGCATTAATAGCAATAAGAACAATAGCAAATAGTGATGTTTCATGAGGAAATGTTTAAGATTAAACAAGGACAATAAGCAGTCAGTTCCAAGGCAGATGCTACATTACTTGGTGGAGTTTTCAAATTTTGGGAAGTGCTTGGTAGCATTACAGAACTTGAGAATGGAAAAGACGGCCTGGCTGAGAACTGCTGGACACTCGATTGTTGCTTCTAAGAACTTGTAGGAAAATTGTAACAGATGATTTTTCAAAGCTGCAGTGAACATCCTCAGATCCTGAAATACTGCAATTGATACCCCGTAATGAAGGATGCATGGGCATAGGGGAGAGAAGATAAGATTTCATGCGAGTGGCGAGTGGTGTCGTGGTCCTGGGAAGGAGGAGTGGGTAAGGAGGACGGAGGCACTCAGCCCAAGATCCTGTGTGGCTGGGACTGCGATGCTGCTGTGGAGAGAACATTGGGATGTGAAACAAGCACCATGAAGCCCTCAAGCCAAACTCTTCCAACTGGATAAATAAGCTAATTCTATGATATTGGCCAGTAGATCTCTCTGTCTCTCTCTCTCTCTCTGTGTTATATCCCTTCTGATCATTACCTTGGCCATCAGACAGTTCTGCTACATTACTCGACTGTACTGCTGAGAGAACTGACAATATTAAAATGACTCCATTGCTTTTATGAACTGGCTCTAGGAGACTAGAGTCCATTTCCATTACTGAGATGTGTTGCATGCCTAACCAAATGCTTTTGGAATCAGATAATTAGGCATTGCAGGCTGTGATTGTTTAAAGAAGATATATACTCAGGTTTCAGACATGGTGTGTGAAATGTCTTATTGGATGAAGGCTATGCTTCCTTTCAGGAGTGCCCAGGGGTTATTTTGGCTGGGAGTTTGGAAAAGGGCAGGGCTTCTTTCTGGAGCACTTGGTACAGCAGAGGCAATGGCAGTGTTTTAAATACAAACACTGCTGAGAGGCCGGTGGTGAACACTTCTGAGCAATTTCAGCCACACACAATCTGCCCCGGAAAAATAATCACACCTATTCCTGTCCACAAAATCAGGATGTTGCTTTTGAAAAACTTTAACCATCTTGTTCTTAAAATACCACTGCCAGTGTACATAGTTTGCGTGTGCTGATACAAAGCCTATTTGAAATCTGAAAGCATTTAAGAGTTAAATAATACAAGATCCAGTATCTGGAATAAATTACTGAAAATGCTAGTGTAAAAGGAACACATTTACTACACCTTTTAAGGCCCCAAAGAGAGCCCTAAAGAGAAAAGATTCTTAACAGATGAAATATATAGATGGCCTTAAAATGATAAAGGGAAACTACATAAGAAGACCTTTTCCAGACCTTCCCAGGTGGTTAAAAATAGAGGTAGGACAGTGATTGACTCATGTAACACCATACCTGAGTAAGATCAGGAAGAGTGTCCATGGAGTCTACATCAAGACTTCCAGAACTCTGTGATGGTCTTACTAGGAGTGACTGTAAGGTATAAGGGTGTTTTAATAGGAAGGACAGACAGACAGGTTTGAAGTAGTAAGCAATTCTGGATCTAGGTCTGCTGATAATCAGCTGGAACCTTGATATTCAAAGTGTGGACTGTGGACCACAACATCAATAACACCCTTTGCCAGAAAAACAGAATCTCAGGCCTCACCCAATATGTGTGTGGACCCAGTCTACATCTTAAAAAGATCCCCAGGTGATTCATTTCCACATTAGAGGTTACAACCTCTTGGGCTCCACCACATCACTTCAAAGACAGAAGTCATGTGATTGAGTAATTCTTCTATTCATTCATGTATTGCATGAGTATTTATTGAGTGTTTACTTGGTGCTAGGTATGGGAATAAGCCCTGGGGAGACGGTATTGAATAAGGCAGACAAGATCCCTGACAATATATTTCATTTTTGTATTTATTTAACAAACAGTTACATTATGCTCCTTATACACCATGATAATTCAAAAGCACTTCATCTATATTGACTTCTTCTATCCTCTAACTAGTCTGTGAAGTAAGTGTTATTATATTTTGGATTTTAGAGATAAGGAAATGGAAGCACAGAGAAAGTGTGTAACTTTTCTGGTACAGCATATACATGGCAGAGACTAGATTTGAATCCAGAGAGTGTGAGTTCAGAATTCAGGCTCTTAACCACTAGGTTATGGCTCTCATAAATCAATTCGATATTTATAACCTACCATTTTTTTCTTTTAAGGAAATAAGTAGAATGCTATGAAAGAAAAAATGAGGCATGCCATTAGCTAGGCTGGCCAGGAAAGGTGTTTATAAGGAGATGACATTTAAACTGAAACCTGTATGAGGGCAGGAACCTCATGTGGAGAGACATAGGGAGCAAATTTTAAATAAAAGAAATACCAGGGATAAAGTATCTGAAGTAGAAAGTATGAGGTCCCTTTTGAGAACCACCTGAGATCAACATGGTTGGAGAATGTAGGGGGTGAGGAAAGAGATTGGAGGTGATGTGGGGAGGTTGGAAGGGGAGATCACGTGATCGTAGATCATACAGAGCCTGAGAGGACAAAGAAGCGGTTCAGATTTCATCCTACGTGCTCAGGGAAGCCAGCAAGGGATTTTATGGGAGAATGAGGCAATCTGACTGCTTAGACTGAGCACAAGGGTCTTCTTGTGCATAGATTTTGGTAGGTAGACTTCAGGCATTGGGAGGGAAGATGGAGCCAAGGTGTAAATGCCTTGCAAGGATGCTTTATTTAGAATACCTGCCGTAGCTAGCCCAAGTGTTCAATGAATGCTATTCTGGACAAAATGCCATAGATAAATTTTGCTCAAAGCCAAAACTATTCCCTTAAAGATAACTTTGAATTTACATATGGTCTGAATGTCGTTTATCCCCTCATAGTGATACTATACATGCTCATCACCATCTCCATGTGTCCCCGAGCCAGGTAGCATTAGTTGAAGATGATCCTCTGAACTTTATTTATTCTGTGATTTTATTCATATTAGAGTCATAGAATTCTACAACACAGAGTTGCACCAAAAATATTGTATAGTTTTCATATTTTCTAAATTGCTCTGATATCTATTATGAATTCTATCTTATTGTTGGATGAAGACAGCCAAATTTAAAGGTATTTTTGTCCAAAACATGGTTCATTTGGGTAAGTGTCTCTAAGCTTTTAGTCTGATTCCTCACAATCCTCCCATCCTCCCTTAAAATAGTGTACCAGAGAGGGAGAAAGGTTTTCACAGCTGTGGAAAGACAAGGTCTTCCCATGATTCTCTTCATCAATGTTGACTGGTGTCCGTAAGGTCTGGTTTAGCTGGATGCTTTCTTTGGGCACTCGGCCACTGATGAATTTATAGTACATTACATAGCTTAATCGTAGCCCAGAAGCCTCTCTCTGTTGACTAGCCACTTCTTGATTTTTATTGCTTCTATCCATCTCTGAATTTCTGTTGAGTCCTCCACAGTGCTCCTGGACAAGGGCATTCCATACCCTATGGCATCACCTCGGCCCATATAAAACCTTATGGTTCTATCAGGGTCTATGACACATGGAGACTAAAGAGGTACTTGGAAGTCCTTCTCCCCACTTTACTATGAAAGTCTCTTCTCTTAGCTCTGTTATTCATTTGCTCTCACCAGACATAGCCTAGTTTAGCGACACATACTGAGCACATGTATGATTGGTTATTCCTCTGTCTCTGCCATTTTTTCCTCTAGATATCCAAGTTGAAGGAGAGTGGGCTTTTTTGTCATTTTTTTTTTTTTCTCAAAGTGGTGTTCGTCTTCTCTATTTCAGTGAGGCTAAAATAGAGAAGAGATATGGGGTGCGAGAAAACGTACACTGTAAAGCCTTTCAAAAGTATAATAGTGACTAGGTATATCTGTGTTCTGAGTGTAGATGACAGACCTGAGTGGAATAAAGTAAGGCTATGGAAAGTCTCGAGATAATTTTGACGACAA